CAGTCCTTCATCACCTTAGACGAAATGGGGTGAATACATCTCATTACACTGATTTACTGGTAGTCTCGAAGCCCTACTCACTTACGAATAAAATGGCATGCTGATAAATTGCGTAAGTTTGGGATTATAAGACAGCCAGTACGCCGAATTGAAGTGGCTTCCGAGGTGACAACACCTACAGATCAGCACGACGATCGGAAGAAAGTATTAAACCTATCATCAATTCCTCTCAATCCCAAGACAACCGCATCCCTGGAAAAAGGTCTTCATCTTTCAATTCAACATAACAGAAGCCTCCTTGAAGACATCCTGGTGGAGGTTATCAATATCACCGACAAATTCCCTGAGGAGACAAAACGGGAAATTGAGATGGAAATACTTCCAAAGATCTTGACACATCAGGAGCCAACACACAGGAACAGATTTGCCAGGATACGCAAAACCCTGAAAACGAATGAACAATTAGTCCTTAAGGCGGACAAAGGGGAGCTACAGTGAAAATGGACAAAAAACAATATACCGAGAATATGTAACATATTCTACGCGACTGGACCACATATCGTATACTAAACAAGAACCCAACTATGAAAATCAATGGAATCTAAAGTGACATGCTGAAAGATACGCATAGAAACGGGGACATTGGCGCATGGACAAGAAATTAAATCATAAGAAAGGATGCACGACCACCAACAGCATACGGATTACCAAAGATACACAAAAAAGGCGAGCCACTAAGGCTGATAGTCAACAACAAGTATGGAGCAACACACAAATTGGCAAAGTTTATGTTTGAAACTCAAGAAATTAAGTGAGAGGCTATCAAACACGGTGACACATTCATATGAATTTTCTCAAAAAATCAAAAACATAACACAGGAAGAAACGAAATTGTTGGTAAGACTCGATGTGGAATCCATGTATACAAATATCTCCGGAGAAAATGCACTAACGGCCCTGCTGGAAATCCTGGACCAAGAGGAGGATATCCTGGAATCACAACGGATCAAGAGGGAGTCATTAACAGGACTAATCAACTTGACAATAAGGACAACCTATTTTACATTCAATGGGAACATCTATGAACAAATATTTGGACTTCCCATGTGATCGCCGCTCTCACCACTTTTGGCAAACGTATACATAAACGAAATAGAAGAGAACTTCAAGATGGCACTGCTACAACCGACAGTGCTCATGCGGTGCCTGGATGATTACTTCGCACTTTGGTCACATGGAAACGAAAAGCTGGAAGAGTTTCTGAAGTTTGTAAACCAGATTGATGAAAAAATTCAATTCACGATGGAATTAGAGGAAGGTGAGCCGTTACCGTTCCTGGATGTTGAAGTGATTCGCTCTAATGGGACGCTAAAAAAGAAATTGTTCAGAAAGAAGTCCTATGCTGGGATAATACTCAATTTCTGGTCCCATCACAAGTACAGGCTGAAGATAGGAATAATGACGAGCATGATCATCCGAAGCCTACGCCAAACGGATGTAGAATTCTGGGACGAGCTAGACAAATTGACTAGGATATTGCTAGGCAATGGCTACCCAAGCGAAGTGATACAAAGAAACATAGGGGCCGCAAAAAGCCGATGGCAGAACGGGGACTATGAAAGCACATTGAGGACGATGAAGGATTCACAAAAGTGAATATTTATACCTTCCTGTGAACGAACTCAAAAACTATGGCCAATATTGAGTAAATGGAATATTCAAGTTGTCATTAAGGAGAAATCAACACTTCACAAGTCTACTATCGCAACATGATAGGGTAGACAAATTGGACTGTTCAGGAATTTACTGTATATCATGTGGCGCCTGTAAACAGAATATACTGGCGAAACAGGGAGAAAATTTGGCACACGAATCAAGGAACATCAAAGGCTCTGCAGGAAAATGGATACCGAAAGATCAGAACTAGCGGAACACATCGCACAGACTGGACACGAGATCAATTGGAAGGCAAGAGAAAGGAGAGCCTCATACGGTGACAACAAAAGGAAGTGGAAGATAGGGGAGGCCATTGACACCCTTGGGGAGACAAATCTAATGAACAGGAGATTTGAGGAAGGTAGAGTTAGCGATAACTTTGCCTGATGCTTAGGCAAACTCAGGAAAACAAGAATAGAAGTGGGTTGACCTCGTTTTCGCAACTTGGTCTTATTGTCAGAGAGACTTAGTAGAAAGCACCTAGTCCGAAGTCCTCTGCCATAGTAGTTATCATAATTCCCAGCATCAGACCGCGGACTTGGTACGCTGGGCGAGGGATTGATTTAACTTGCCTTTTTGACGAGTTTGTTCTACTAAGTCTCTCTGACAACAAGACCAAGTTGCGAAAACCATGTCAACCCACTTCTATAAGTCGAAATGAGACTGCGACCATACCGGAGGCCACATTATCTTAATGATCATATCTTCGATAAAAAATCTATACATTATTTTTTTCTCTGAAGGCCATCAACGGATCTGCTTCGGATTACATGGCCATAGCTGACTACCATGAACTTTTGGGTTTAATGATAGGAGAAAACATTAGCTGAGGTGCCGTAAAAACTTTTTAACTAGTATGGAACTGCACACCAAATATGTTTTCAGGAACGCAGCTATAAAGAGCAAGATGGTATGGCGTTTGCTTTCAGGAGGCTCAGATGTAAGAGTAGACAATTCACCACAAGTGAGGAGGATAGCAGGGCGTAGAATGAAGCTTTAACGCAAAATCAAATTCACTTTTATCTCTTGATCTGAATAATCAAATGCATATGGTTAACCTTTGTGGTTTATTTAACCACTTATGTGTTCAATTAACTTACAGCTGTCATGATCTAAACGATTTGAATCTCGGGCTCAGCTGTTTTTAGTAAAAAATGGAGACTGAATAGAAAGAATGCAGTTGGGATAAATGGTCTCAAACGTTAGCTAATTTCGAAGGCCATCAAATGCACTCAAAATAAACCTTTGAAATAATTTTGTCTTATAATGTAAAATCTACTTGTAGGAATTGGGATGCTCAGACCATCTTCTAACTATTGTACTCCTTATTAAAACTGGATTATTTTAAAGTTCATTCCTCAAACGGATTATAATTATGGAGGATATACATTTCCGATACTGGATTCTGCCTACCACGACTATAGCTCTTGTTATACTGAAAATGAACTGCATTTTTGGTTTCATCGGCCCATGGCCAGATTTAAAACTGGATTATCCGTCCAGGAGGGAATACATCCTTCAACTTGCTTTTACTCCCCTGAGCTTCAGAATATGGCTAGCTTCCAAGAAATGCATATTTTCCTCAACGTGGTTTTAGTTTTGATAAGACTGTAAGGCGAATTCGCCTTTACCGGTATACTCGATATTAGCAATGAGGTACGAGAAATACGAGTGAAGTGTTTACTGGATGTACAAATTAGAAGAGTTGAAGCATGATTCTTCCATTTTCTTAGGGCCTGGTGCTTGAGTATCCCAAAAGGCAGAGCATTGTAGTGAAATATATTTCTCTTCTTAAATCCTTGTTTGTGGGCATGCCAACTGTATCTGAACTAATAATTAGCCGAAGAACTTCCATTCTTAAGTGATATTACTTGTTACTTTCAAATAAGCTACAAATTTTATAGGCATATTTATTTAATGCAATGCCCAAATCACCTATTTCTAGTTAAGACTATTCCGGCCGGTTTTAGTTACGTCTTAATTTACGAAAATCAGGTACCGTGGTAAGTTCCTCTTGGTCACCACTTTTAGGCTAAATTTACTATCGATGAATCATGCCTTTATTTGTTTACACTAATCAAAATTTAGTTGAAACAAAACCGATCCGGTACATTCGCGGAAGAGCTCATGAAAGATAGTGAGGTCTCACTGATTAGATCTTTCGTGAAATATTTTTAAACACGGTTTAATAAGCTATGAGAACATATTCCATCCATATAATCTAAGTTATTAATGAATGACTAGGGGAGCATATAATATGGAATGATGAAACATAATTTAAATTAGTTTTGATTACCTTTTTCTTAGAAAAATATTACAACGATATCAGTCGAAAGATGAAGCTAGGCAATCATATATCCTTATGATTTTATCATCCCCCGATGGATGGAAACACGAAATAAAACCTACAAAAAATCCTTGTGAGCTGGACACAATTTGCATTGCAGCTTTGGGTGGACGTGATGCCTTCCTTAAATATATAACTTTGTCACTGGTGATGCGATTACGGATAATCAACCTCTTTAAATGGACCCCATTTAGCCAAGGCTAATTATGTCATTTTATAGATGAATATCGACGATCCTCATTACTAATACACACAAAATGTCGCTATAGAGAACAAAGGGAATGCAACACATCAAAATACCTGTTTGTCATAACCGTTGGCGTGAAAATGCAGCGCTTCCCTTTTTCCCTACTGAATACCGAAAAGCATACTACTCTCGTCATTCAAGTTGACACTCCCATCTAATCCTATGATACTAGGGTGTTGTTCATGTGTGTGTTGGCTGGTATCCTTCTTCAAGCATGTCACCTCTCATTAAGGCATATAAACGAAAAACCTAAACAGGCATAAATTGGTGGCCTATCTCTGGCTCACCTATACCTTTAGCTTGTAATTTCCTATCCCACATCCCACAGGTAGATCCCCCAGAGTAAATTTCTTGGTCGGTTTCAGGTTTGACTCCTTTCACTGCAATCGCCTTTTCTTTACTTCCCTTTGCCCCTCATCATCCGCTCCTTGGCGATGTCTCTTCATGTTGTTGAATAGTTGTCCTGGGTCCAAGCGTCTTCCTTCTGATGTCTTCGCTGAATTTCCAAGTCTGCCCGAGCAGTACACGAAATTACTGCTGACTTCCTTCTTTCAATCTCCTGTCCATCAGGTTTCTCTGAAAGAAGATATCCACAGCCTCCCTGATCTTCTATTTTGTTTTGGTCTCTCCATATGAGGACAGACTTTCTGTTACATTCCAGTCAATTGTGTGGCGGGTAAGGGCGATGTGTCCAGCTATCTCTAATCTTTCCGTATAGTTACTGGTGTTCTTCGATCCTTGTGTTGATTGTCCTTCCCGTCTCCGAGATGTATTTTTGTTTGCAGACATTATTGCTAATGCTATAAATTCCGGAGCACTCCATTTTGCTGACTTTTATGTTATGTGGGCAAGAAGGATGTCATTTCCTTCAGGATTGTACTAATGTCCCATTTCCATAGTATCTGACGCAGATTATGAGCCATTTCGCAAGGGGATAGACATATCCATCATTTTACCTGTTTCGTTTGCTTAAATTTCGCACAATACGTATATTGCTCTGTAGATGGGGCCTATGAGGTGAGGTTGAGATATATAGATGTAGCACTAGAATGTCAGACAAAATATATGGACGAGGAGTGACGCCACAATGAATGGACAGATGATTGGTCAAGGGGATTGCCTTCACTTGTCACTTTGTTACATTGTAACTCTGTGTTGATGATGGCATCTATGACTGAAGATACCGGCGAAACGTTTAGGAATGTACCAAGTCAATGGTGCAATGCTGGAAATCACGAATACTATGGCAGAGAACACGAGGCTCGGTACGCTCATCAGAGTCTCCCTAAAGCTTCGACCAAGTCGCGAAAACGAGGTAGAACCAACACTAAAGCTAAAGGCGATTGCGACTAAACAGAAGGTTACACCATCTGGGTCTTCATATATATGATTCAATAGCATTTAACTAGGTGATAGATGACAATGCATTAAAGCCAACAGTGGCCCACATCCAGCCAGAAACTACCAGTCTCCTGTAACCCTTTGTTCCTCATCTTTTTGTTTACTAGACGCATGGGAAACGCTACGTGTATCGATTCGACTTCACCGGTCTTTTGGCTAACCTACACCAGTCTACTGTACAACTGCCTGCCTTAGATGCCGCTTCAACCTCTTTTGAGTCCTGCTTAAGCCAAAAAGAACCCAAACTAGGCTACGATTCAAATGAAATAGGACAGATGATTAAATCGACAGAGCAAACTAGGTCTTGCTCGCATATTAAGCAGAGCATCTTCCAGGTCCCCAATTCAAGAAGCCGCCCGCATCCAGCCTCCCAAGGCCTTGCGGTAAAACCGATTAGAGTCTGGCAGGAGCGTTGGTGGCGAAAGGGCAGAGATAGAATTAAAGGACTTGATCTCGAGATCAATGAGGATATTGGTGGCCATCTCTGCGGCGATAGTACAAATGGGACTATTGAAAAAAGCCGTATGCAAACAGAGAAATCATTATTGACAAGTCCATCCACTTCCCCGAAGAAGTCTAGAGCTCAGACAATGAGTGGTAGTCTAAAAATGAATAGTATGCACAACAAGAGAGATATTTCTCGAGGTGAACATAGTCTGAGACGAAGAAACGTTGCAGGAGGGCTAAAGAGAGTCTCCAGAGGGTTAGAAAGCGCATGCCCCGAAGGACCATCGAAGAAGCAAGAACAATCATCCATCTGGCCTACTTCCTGGGAGTCAACCAACATCCTTTGGTTATCCACGGGTGGCCGACCTTGGGGAGAGCATAGCGAAAACCACGATACACCTATGAAGCAAGCTTTACTTTTTGAATCGACGTCTCGTCCATCTGTGGTCCAACAAGAGGATCACTCGTGGCTGGATTCTGAAGCTTGTCAACAGACTGACGGCGCCGGAACAGCCGAATTAAATAACTGGTTGAAGGAGGCAGCTGCCTACATGCAATGGTTAGGAGGCTTGAGTCTCGCAAGCCAACTCGTACGCTGGTCAGAGTTGGCTGCACTCCCTCAGGATCATTAGCCCGCCATTAATCAGCATTTCATTCAACCACGACTGTCATTGCGGATGTGCATAGTCAATACGCAGGGATGATGAAAAGAAAAAGGCAACTACTTCCTTTCGAACTGTTTAAATCTTGTTTAGATTTTGTCCTGTTATTTGATGGATGTCTTTTATGATAAAACTGCAGAATGGAGTGAAACAGGTTGAGTACATTAAAGAATACGAGCCTCAACTATATTGTTTATTTTAAGGACGGGGATTTTGATTTTTATGATCCTGGGTCGGTTATTTTGGTAGCTTCACGAGAATCTACGCATCCTCAAAAGAAACATCAGGGAACATACTTAGTCTATTGCTTGGTGCTGGAAATAAACATAAATACTATGACAGAAGACAAGAATCAGGATGAGCTTGATAGCCTCACTGTTGCCCAGACAAAGTTACTAAGACGAGGTTAAACCATAATTATACATCTAAGGGATACTGCTAGTAACCCCGAGGCTACATCGTCTTGGTTTTCTTATCCAATAGAAAAAACAACCTGATCTCAAGGTGGCTGAGCAGCGGAATATGTATACAAAATGCTAAATTTGAAGCAGATGCTGCGGGATCCTTACTATTAAAAACAATCACCGAAAATAAGTTTATAAACCAACCAAATACGAAGAACATCCCACGCTGGACACGTCATTCAAGGGGATTTGATAAACTCGTTGGGAAATGACAGGTTTGAATACGTAATTATACCATGGTTTGTAGAAAAGCTTGCTCTCGAAATCTTAAAAGATTAATATTGGAGTACCCTTCATTTCGTTTGAAGAGCTAAGTGGAAAGGATCCGTAAGTTGGCCTCACCAGAAGCTGTAGGAGGATTGCCTTGGAGCGGAGACTGTAAGTTTGTGTAAATAAGTCTTCAGCGCACCGCCCTGCGACCCCGATGGATCTGTGTTGGGCTTTCTTCCGTCATGTGACGGACATCGTCAGAACAGGACAGCCAAACACGAAGACAAGAAGAGTGGTTGGCCGCAATCCTACCTAATTCTCATAGCTTAGATTTGTCCACTTAAAGAGACGTCGCATAATTTGTCTGGATACCGTATGATATCTTACACGCTTGTTGAAAAGTGAAGTGGTTGAGGATGATATCAAAAGTGGCTGCAGATGAAGCGTGAAACGGTGGCAGTCGTGACCGAGCAGCTGCATCCTGCAATGTTATCGCACGTGGTTGCGTCCCATTGTACGTGTTGTGTGTATGCAGAGCTCCTGAGGCGCGGGATTTGATAGTGAAAACCAGATTCGGGGCTAATCAAGCCAAACGCCTAGCTGGATATGGAGAGAATACCAATATCCGGAAGATTATGAAATCTATATAAATCAGCAACACAGCCAACACCCCGAATAAAAGGAATAAGTATAAGAAATCAAGTAGAAACTTCTTATAACTATTGGATAGAATTAGAGAGGGAGCAAGAGACTCGCTTAACCTCAAATCTGGTTCACTCTCAAACCCCACGCGTCCCTTGAGTGCTGCCTGCATACAGCGTATTCTATGGAACGCAATCAAATGCATCAATATTGCAGGATAAAAAAGCGTCTAGGAGGCTATGGTCGTTCAGCGACAATTGCACCTGTTTCATTACTCATTTTCAGCCACTTAACTTCTAAACAAGCATAGCAATTATAACCAGATCATAGGATGTCTCAGTAAGCAGGAAAATCTAGGCCATAAGAATCAGGTAATATTGTAACCGGCCACTTTTACTGTCTTCGTGTTTGGCGGACTATCCTAAAGTATGTTGCCCCGCTGACATGATGGCCGCAAGCCCAGCGAGGACACATCAGGGTCGCAGGGCGGTCAGCTGAGAACTCATTCGCAAGATATATAATTACGACTCCATCTTCATAGCTCATGGTGAGATCAACATACGAATACCTTACACTCGTCTCCTCAAACGAAATGCAAGGTACGCCAGCACCACGATTATGGCTTATTTGAATAGTATGGCTCGTAACAGAAGACGAACT